GTCGGCAGAGGGAAACCGCAAGCCTGCTTGAGGTCACCCCGCAAGCTGGTGCTGAGCCCAGCCTAGCACCCAGGTTATCGGCACTGATAAGCAAGGCTCTGCTGGCGTTGATATAGGAGGCTTATATAAATCCAAATGTATTTTAATAAATATTTTTGTTATTCTTGTCCCCTTTTATTACCTTGGTCAGGTAAAAGTGCTTGCGAAGTGAAATTGAAAGCATTTACTTTCAGCATAAAAAATGCAACATAGTTACCATTCTACTAAAATAAATCAAAGCGATGAGTAAATTAACTTGGCCAAAAATACTTAGAAAATGGTAACCGTGTATGAGGAAGTAGATGTTTGAAGAAAAGAAGTCTTGGATGGAAGATGAATCGCACGAATAGAAGTGCTAGAGAATAGTTTTGTCCCTTGTTAATGCCCTAGTTTTTGACCATGATAGTCTTGCATATAAATCCGTAATCCAAGTCCAAGTCTGGAGGAGTGATGCAGTTTTGCTTCTGGTGAAGGCTAGTTAGCAATTCTCCCCAGACTTTGTTCTGTAATGTCCTAGAGCAGGACAGGCTCTGAATGGGAGGAGAAGGAGCTAGAGACAAGTGAAAGAGATTACTTCACCATAACCATTTTTCTTATTACTTCCTAGCATAGATGTCTGAAAAAGCTTACTTTCCATTCATTCAGGAAACCTTTAAGCATTTAGTAAAACTTTTTAAAGTTCTTATATTCTATAACAGAAATACATCTTTTTGCTGTGGTTTTGAACTCTTTCCTGGGGTGTGTTCTTTGCTTAGTAGGTGTACTCAAACTGTCCGTAATGAAAATGTCTTCTAAAGATTATAATTAGTCAGTACGCTTGTCTTTACAGCATATGCCTATATAAATTAACTTGGTGTCTGCTTTCGGTCCATTCTTTCTTTGAAAAGTCAGTCATACTACGATTTGAATATCAGACTCTGTAATTGGAATGTTGCTTAGCTGTGACGCTAACATACTGAGAAATGAAAGAGTGGGAATTCTTAATTACCGAGTTGTTTATATAAACTGTTTCTCTGGGAGAAAGATTGAGATCTTCACCTCAAACTAAAATTCTCATGTGTGATAGTTGACCCAACTTTTTCTAAAGGTACTAGATTCAAAAAACCTCAAGATTTTGTCTTTTAATGCTGTGCCCTGAACCATACAGTAATTGCGGGGGTGGTTTTTTGTGTGTGTTTTGGCTTTCTTGAATCCTAGGGCATGTGGGTTTCTGAGGAAGATTTCACGTGGTCTGACTGCTGGTGGTCCCCCAAAAAACACTTCACCTATCCTTACGTTACCAGCTCCCAAGTGAGCCTGTCCAGCCAAATGAACATACACGTTGTAGCTCATTGTATAACCTGTAGTACATGTATTGTTCCAGTCTTGAACAGTAGATACTTGGGGTTTTTTTAGGGCTATTACCTCATAGGAATGTGATGTCCTCATTGTCAGCCAGGTGCCATATCAACACTACTATCATAAGGCAGGTGATGTTAAAAGAAGTGGGGTGGAGAGTTTGGTGTGAAACTCCAACACAAAAAATGTAATTGAAAGATTGAAGGAACTTATGAACTGAAAGGCACCGAGGGAGGAGAAACCATGTGTTTCCATCTCCAGCTTGCTAATTATACTTTCATAGGGTTGTGCAACTGGAATTTGTTCAGCTCTTGCATGGAGATATGGTGGTAAGAAATCAATTGGAGGTGAAAATGAAGTTAAGGAGTTTGATAAACTACAACTCTGTGGTTTAAAAAGGTCATGTTGGGGATGCTTAATTTTGTTCAAGCAGCCCCTAGCAGTCTGATGTTATTCTTCGAGCTATGCCAGCATAGTTGTGATGGCATGAAGAACCGGAACTGGTCCTGATCTAGATGGTGAAAACGCTTCTTGCAGGCTTTTTTCCCCTGGGATTTTTAATGCATTGGATTTCCAGTCCATCTCTCACTACACAGTTGCCTGAACTGTCATACAGGAAGGGTGATGTAAAGGTGAAAATAAGCTGAAAACCAGAAAGCATTGAAACTGGAGTGGCTGCTGAACAAATTAGTATGAAATTATATCCTCTGTCTGTCAGAGCGTGCTGTGGAGCATGCCATCTGTGCTTTCTTTAGAAAAAGAAAGATGTTAGATTTTCCTTAAAACTCAGAATGAATAGACCATTCAACCTCCTGTCTTACTTGGCTTGTACCGGTCTCTGAAGATAAAGTGATCCTGTAGAAGGACCAGACTTTTTTTCCAGGCAGTATCTGTGAATATTTCTCTTGGGGGTTGATGTTTTTGAAGTATCTTGAAGTGTTCAAAAGCCTCTGAGAGAGCTTTTTATTAGTTAGCTCCTGCTTATTTATTTACTATACCATCTGTCCCACTATCCAGACAGTTGTATTTTAGCAATGAATGGTGGTCTTGGCTTGCTGTAATAAATTTTACAGGATAAAACATACTTTTCCACCTGGTATGTACCTTTAACTTGCCATGTCTGTTAGCGTGGCGGTTGTTAAGAGTCTATGCTTGCAGAGAGGAGTTTGTCAGAGAATAGGCCAAATGATGTGGTAGCTGAACTTTTCTTTCAAGAAAGCCTTTGGCATACTCGGGTTGCATTTCCCTATGGCAAAAACGTAGGAGAAACACTAGAACAACCATGCTAGTTGTTAGCAGGTGATTGTGTTCGGCTCTGTTGCATGTGTAGCTATGAAGTAAGTCCATAACTTGCGTCACCTGGCCAACCTACTCCTGCTAGCTTGGCTTGCTCATGGTTGCAATCTGCAACATTAACAGAGAACATGATTGTTTGACAGATGGTGCTCTAGAACAGAGTTTGAGGCTATGAGAACAGGGTTTCTGATAGCTAGGCTGGTTGGAGTAGCCTGTGCAAGTGAAGCTGAATGGTTGGTTTACAGTGATGCTCGCAAAAGAGCGAGCTGGGGAGACACTGGTAGAAAGGTTGTAGAGTGGCCATCCACAGCATGATACTACCTTGTTCAAAAAAATATGTTAAAGATTAAATGGGTGAAAGTTTGAAGTTTTCATTTCTACTGTGTTTTCAGTACAAAATGGTTCCAGTTGGTAAATGGCCATAGTATGACCATTTCTTTTTATTTTTATTATTTTTTATTATATTTTTAGGTCAATGTGTTTCATACTAAGAAACAGCAGATCTGAGGGAAGGGAGTATGTTAGACCTGGCAAGCGGTAGCAGTATATAGCACCTTTAAGCAGCAAAACAGCTGCTGCTGGATTGTGTCTACTTCTAAAAGTCCATGAAAGGCTGCAGCATAGTGCAGACAGCGAATAGCCCGGCTGTTTGGGAGCTGCCGTCATGGCTTAATGGGCATAAAAGCCTTCCAGCTGTCACACAGGGGAGATGGCAGAGGAAGGACGTGTGACTTCGGAAGCTTTAAAGCAGAAAAGTTTTCTAGATGAGCAACAGGACAGATGTTTCTACTTACTGATAATTTAATTATTAATTATCATTGCAGTTAAATCTTTTGCATTAAAAAGAATATAGATATATCTGTGGGTATCTCTTGGAGATACTCCAAGCAAAAATAGTACATCCAGGGCAACATCATGTGCTTAGGTATGAGGACTTAATGCTTTCTGAAAAAAATAAATAAGGAAAACACAACCTCTGTAGTACGCTTCCTGCTTTTATTTTCTAGAAGTAAGTTCTTACATTATTTTTTATCTGTAGGGTACAGGAGATAGTATACACTTTTATAATTTTCTGGATTCGTTGTCTTTATGACTGCAGTGGAAACAATACTATGCTGGTTTGAGTAAATGAACCTTTTTGTATAGCCTTTAATCAGGGCATGTGTTTGCTGAGTCTGAGGCAGGTCGCCTGTCCTTGATGTCTCAGTATGTCACACATGGTCTCTTCATATTTTTGGATGACTTTCACAAGTTCAGATGGCAAGCAAATTTTACATTTTGATATTTGAGATGGGGGAGATCTCATTACAGCTCCCATCACTTCAACTATTTTGGTGGAATCTCAGCAAGAAATTACTGTTTTGCTTTGGGATCTTTTCAGAGCTTGATACATTCATATTGTTTTTATTTCTGCTTACTTATAAATTCCATAACCTTAAGTGTAGCTATAGTCTAAATAACTTCCTGGTTTACTGCCTATTTTTACAGAAACAATGCTTTAATGATCTACTGTATTCCATTCCACACTTATTCATCCTTCACTTCTGTTAATTCTTTTTAAATAATTTTGTGCTCTAAATACATTTGTGAGGAAAATGGAAAAGCTTCTTTATTTTTAGAAGAAAGATCTAGCGTATACAATTATTTGAAAGATGTATGATTTGGAATCGCCCATCAGTAGAAGTTGAATTTACGCATCCTCCTCTTTTGCATTTCCTGTGCTTAGCAGAATGCACAGTTTGTGCGTTTGTTATATGCCTCTGTTCATTTGGACACAATGCTTACCTATCCAAAAAGCAAGATCTTTGATCCAAGTTGATGAGCTAAAATATGAGTAAAATTTGGTGTGACCTGTAGAAACATACTACTTCTTCCTTCTCTCGATATGGTGATAAGCTTCTGATATTTTTTTCTCCTGTTCTTTTTTTTCTTTTTCTTTTCCCATTTCCAGTGTTCTATTTAGGTGAGTGTTTTAATTTTTTGAGCCTTTTCTGTTCCTCCAAGAGTACTTGCTCATTGTTTTAAGAAAACCTCAGACTTGGAGTGCTTTTCAAAGCTTTTGTCAAGTTCCATCATATGTAAAATTTATTTTGCATTTCTGTGAAACCTTTTCATCCATGTGAAATAAATCCATTCTGTAAATATGTAAGGTAACATTTGTTGCAGCTTTTATTTGCTGTATTATGTTGTTGAGCTTGTTTGGCTTAAAAAGCAGAAGTAAACAGTTCTTACAACGTCATGTGATGGCTGGCCTTTTTCCTTGATTTTGTGCTTTTTTGCATGGTAAAAGTTCAAATCATTAATTTATGGTCTGTGTTCACTTTTAGGTCCTACATTGCCTCGACAGAATTCACAGCTTCCCTCTCAAGTACAAAATGGTCCATCACAAGAAGAACTGGAAATCCAGAGAAGGTACAGTACTATAAGTGGACAGCTGTTCAATTAAAGAATGTAGTAGCTCCTCACTAATGATGAGAAATTAAATGTCAAGGACTTAGAATTACTCTTGCATTAGGGCAGCATTTGTATGCCTGCAGTTTTCAGTAGTACAGCTTTCCTCTGTAGAAACTTTGATTGTAGCTAGATCCCTAGTTCGTGATCTCCACCTGTTCAAACAATGCAATTGTTATTGGCCTGTCATGAAAGAGCTGAAGATTGGATGGGAGCCTTGGAAGATTTCACCGCTGTCATTTTCAACCAGACTAATTAATTTTCCAGTGACTGTGTCTTCAGTTTTTGACACACGCTTATAAAGATGAAAGCAGCAAGCAAGGAAGGAAGTTTTAACCTTTAAAAGTAGAGAATTAAATCATCATGGAGAATGACAATTTTTCTTCCCGAATGTGGGTGCACTAGATCAAAATATTGTATTGGAAAGCTCATTTGCCTTTATACTATATCAGTTCTTTAGCAAAGAAACCTTCATTTTCTACTTTCAGTGTATAAATTTATGGAATCTTTAGTAGTTTAACTTTCAGCTGTAGCAATACTGGTTATATCTGTGCTGCCCCCGGGGGAACAGTCCATGTTCCCCTCACCAGTTGGCACTCCTCCAAGCTGAGCTGTTCCATTCAGTGTGAAGCCACTGTACCCTGTCCCGTACCCTGTCCCATGCCCTGTGGGGTATCTTTCAGACCCATAGCATTTTTAACATATGGGTTTTTTTCCAGTTCCTTTTAATAATTGCTATGTATTGATCACGTGTCCAAGTTCTGGGAACAAACTTTCTGGTTGCCATATTCCTGCTTTTGTTGCCTAGCAATATGGGTTAGTGCTGTAGATTGAGTGTCTGGGATATGGGTACATGAAATGGCAGAGGTTTCTAGGATAGTGCTAGCAGACTGGGTTAAGTGAAAACAGCAGGACCTTGGGCTGTGTCAAGCATATACTGCCTGGGGTGCAGTCCTGGATTATTTTACCATCAAAATACTCTCAGGAGATTAGCTGTTCCCTTCTAGAAGGGAGTGCTGGGAGCGATTTGGGGCACATGCAGTACAGATGCAAGGAACAGGATCCTTGAGTAAATAGGAAGTGGTCCAGATTGATAGTGTAAATGCACTTAGTAGCTTTCAGTGGTAACCAGAAAAATATTTTAACATGTTGGGTCTAATTGGCACTGAAGTTTTTTCCGTTTTGATGTTTTGCATTTAGTTTGTTTATGCAAAGGTGAGCAGAACCAGATTGCTAATTTGGGGATAATTCATATTACAGATTTGATAAACTAGCTATATGTGTTGAACAAAGTTTTGACATGAAAATTAGTCATACTTGTCTGTCTCTTTTCTGCAGTTATGTTCTTAAATCTGAGCAGGGATCACTTTACCTGAAAGTTCCCTTGTTTTAAAACAAATAGCAAGTAGCTCATTACAAAGCTGTCTGTCTGATGTGTTTATGTGTAAGTCTGCTGTCATGATAAAGGTCTTTTATGTCACTTCTTTTGGAAGACTTTTAAAAGCTTTATTTCTCTTCTGTTCTACAGTAGTGGCTTTTAATATTTTTATTTCCCGTCTGTTCCTTTAGAAGGCTGTATTAGTTGAAATTTATAGTGCTGAAATACTTTTCAGAGAAGCATTGTAGATAGTTGTCTCTTCAGAAAAACGTGCTGCCCTGTGTTAAGAGCTCTGTAAGTCTCTCTTCAGATTTTTGTGTGTAAAGGACATATTATTAGATGGCATTCTTACGGCTTCGCTTTCTCATTTGATCAGTGTGCTCTACATGTTTCATCTAATATAATGTCCTCTTTGAAGTCTGGTCCTGGTTTTGATTTTTTTCCCCTAAAAAAGGATAGAGAACTGAAATGAGTGTTTACTCATGTTGCTAGCCAGATTGTCTGTGGAAAGACTATTGCCATTGTGTCATTAAGCCTAATAAGAACATGTAGTTTTGTTAAAACATTTCACAAATGCTTCTCCGGTCTCTTTACTACTGTAACTATATGGTTATAATACAGTTCAATTAACCGTAAGCTAGAACATCTCTTCTGTAGTAACTGTCTTTCAGCTTTCAGACTGTAATAACAATAGTCTTATGTCATGGTTTAACCCCAGCCGGCAACTAAGCACCACACAGCTGCTTGCTCACTCACCCCTGATGGGAGGGGGAAGCAAATTGAAAGGGTAAAAGAAAGAAAACTCCTGGGTTAAGAACAGTTTAATAATTGAATTTAAATAAAACAATAATAATAATAAAAATTGTAATGAAAA